ATACTTGCAACCTCTCCTACATTGCTCCCCTCTCCACTCTCAACATGGCCCTTTCTAAATCCATATAAATGCTATAAAAACTTCCCTACCTTTAATCAAACTACTGTTCACAATATATGCTTCAATGTAAACACTTCATCTACACATCCCCTACCCACTCTAAAACCCCTTGCTCATCCGCAATCCTACATCTGTTTCCTCTAATCTTTTTCCCAATAAATAACCCTACCGTACACTTTTCCTGGTATACTCATAAACTTCTTCTTCTATAAATTTTTAACCTCTCCTTGTCCCCCTTCCCATTCATATAAAGGGACTTAATACATGCTCTCTGCCAATCCCTAGGTACGTTCCCCTCTTTCATTCATTTATTAAACAAAAATACCAACCCTCCAACACTATATCTTCCCCTGCTTTTAACATTTTCAGTCATGATCCCGTCAGTTTCAAGCTGCTTTAACCCCCTTGTCATTCTATTAAGCCTCGCGCACCTCCCCCACACTCACATCCTGCTCTTCTCAACTCAACACACAACTCAGGATATAAATAACCATAATTTAAACCTAGAAGATATTGATCATGTTGACCCTGATCTAACCCCATAATCTGACACCCAATCAAAACCTATTGGAAAGTAAACTGCCCTTTATTACAACAGCACACAAGCCAGCACTAATCCTAAAAATGCTAAAAGTCTGTCCAGTACTTAACTACAACATCCAGGCCTTAAGCAAATAATATGATGACCTCCTGGCACTCCTTGGATTCACTAAAGACACCCTTCTCCTGCATTATTCTTACTGAGACCTGCTTAAGCAGGACACAATATATCTACCCTCTAAACAGGATACACATCAACTCACAACTGCAGACCAAACCAAGTTGGGGGTGGTATTGGCAAATCTATTTACACTAACCAATTATCTTGTATATGCACCACTTGCTTAGTGAATCGAATATGGGGAATACAATTTTGCTAATTTTACTGTAAAAAACCTTAAGACACCTATAACAATCGTGCCATTTACCGTATACCTACACAAACATCCCAAATTTCAGTGAGAAATTAGTCACTAATTAACAAACAGACAAATGAAAATAAGCACCACCTTCTCTTAGCTGGAAGACTTCAACATCAACCTTGGCAACAAGATGATCAGCCTGTAACTGATTTCAACAACAATATGACAACACTCTCACTTCTCATACCAACAATAACTAAAGCCAACCAGCTCATCTGAACAAGTGCACCATAATAGACCACATATGGACCAATATACTACCCCCCTTAAATCAGGCATAATCACAGATAGTACTACAGACCACTACCCTACCTTCCCCTACAAACAGTAGTAAACCAACCACTTGAATACAACAAAGTCTCATTTAGACTCCATGACTAGGCCTCACTATGTAAGTTCACAGCTGACATAGAGACTGTTTCAACTGGCCTACAGAATTCCAAAGGCCAATGGAATTGAGACGACTTGGACAGACATTTTTCTTAACCAAATTACTTAGACATACAATCAAACATTGTCCTATAAAAAACGAAACAGATCACAAACAAACAGCTTTGGTTGCCCATGGCTACCACACCAATCTGAAATCCATTGACAAGAAACCACAATATGAAAAAGCAATAAGACAGGGCTTAATACACAAAGATATTCTTAAACACATTCATCAGTTCTCACCAAAGTATAAAGAAAGCCAAACAACTAACTACTCCAGTAGATTCACAGACACTAAGAGATATAAAAAAGACCTGGAAAACACTCTCTCCAGATTCTAGGGACCCACAAACTGAAAAAAAACAAGAATATTGTCCTAACTAAACCTAATGAACACCACTACATTCCCACTGACACAGCTAACAAGATAAAACGACTTCTTCCTCACATAGGATCTATATCTCGCCATAAAATCCCACATACCAATGCCCATGCCGGGGACTACCTAGATGGGAAATTTCCAAATTCCTTCTATCTTGCACCAACTGTAGCCCACGGAAGTCACTGAGATTATAAGGGAGTCACTTAAAAATAAATCGGGGAATCTGTCTCGTGCCCACCATTACTGTACAAGCAAAGCGGCCCATGTCCCTTTCGCATGCTATTCATTACTTTTTTTAACAAGTAACTAGAAACAAGCACCTTCCCGAAACTACTCAATATGGCAAGAGTTGCACCAAATACATAAAGGTGGTGATCCTACAGACTTAAACAACTATAGGCCAATATCAAACTTACCATTGCTATCCGGGGGCAAAATCTTTGGAGAAACTCGTGCACAGGAGACTATGTTCATTTATAACTGCACAAACATACTCACCCTTGCCAAATTGGATTCAGGAAAAATAAAAGCACTAATGATGCAATCATAAAAATGCTAGATCTGCTTTACACAGCATTGAAAATAAGGAATATCCGCTAGGAATTTTTAAAGACACAAGCATCAAACAACACGGCCCACTTGATACTGGAGTTCCGCAGGGAAGTGTCCCTCGGTCCCCTGCTCTTCCTCTTATACATCAGTGATCTTTCCAAATATCCCCAACACCTGAAACCCATTTCTCTTTGCTGACAGACACGACTTAGGTCATACTCTCACCCTAATCTTGCCAACCCTCAAACACCATTGTTAACTAGGAGCTATCAAAATATCGACCTTGGATGACCCCAAATAAACTTACGCTAACACTGACAAAACCTACTATATTTATGCTTGGTAGGCAAGCAGGAGATGCACAGATTAACATTAAGACGACAAACACTCTAATTACGCAGACATAATGAGGCAAAAAAAATTTCTAGCCTAACTTGACAACAACCTGAATTTCAGCACCCACATATCCAACACATAACCAAAACAGTATCCAAAAACGGTTGGGACCTCTCCAAAGATACGATACTACGTGCCGCAAAATGCCCTTCTCGCACTATACCACTCACTATTATCCATACCTCACCTATGTTAATTGTGCTTGGGATCAACTGCAGCAACACACCTAAAGCCAATAATAACCCAACAAAAAGCTGCAGTAAGATAATCACTAAATCCCATCCCTGGCAACACACCCCCCCATCTTCATAATCTAAATTTACTTACTCCTGTTCAGTACATCCACATTACTAAACTGTGGCAAATCTACATCTACAGGACAATAAACTCCAATATCAACCTTGACCTAAAATGCTTTCTGATAGTTGACAGCACCCACAGGCATAACCCAGACACAAACATCTCTACGACATTCCCCGTGTCCGAACTAAACCTTTACAAAAATTCAATGATGTCAAAGGCCCCTAAAAAATATATCTGGAACAACCCTACCTGAAACTCTAGAACTGCAGACAACATTCATCACCTTCAAACTACCATTAGAAAACCTCTTCTCTCCCTGAACACCCTGTCTACTAACTACACCAAAATACCACCTGGTGGGTTCACACTTACACACACTTGCCCATTTGACCATAACCCGAAATATTAATCTCAATCTTAAAATAATGAATCCTGTGATACTCCTATACTGAAACTATGTACTGTGCCAAAACAAAAGCATTCACATTGCTAAACTCACAAACAGTATTTAAGTCACTTAGCCCACAATACCAACTTACCTCATAATTTTTAATATTTTAAAATTAAGAATTAAACTAAGTCTGCCCGAAAATGCCTAGCCATGCTAGTGTTCTAGTGGTACACTCTGTAATCTCTCTTTTTTTTTTTAACACAGGGTTTGACAAGGTTTAAGGATCCCCTAGCTTTATGACAAGCTATTAACAGGTTAAGGATTCCCTAACTTTATGGCCAGCTAAGAGCTACTGACATGCAAACCACAAATAACCAAATCTAAACTCAGCATTGTAATCCTTATAGAAGTAAACTTTGAATTTGAATTATTCACTCCTAAAAGATGGTATGCGCCCTAGCCAGTGCATGAAATTACCACCTTCCCTTTCTTCATCGACATTTAAAGTTACTCAAAATATTCTCATCATCTTACCAAAATCTCCACTCCCATCTTACTAACTCCCCTACTCTGTTTTTGAACTGACAATCCATTATTTCCCCTATGCTTTCATTATCTTGTTTTAACTCACTCCAAAAATTTTTTCTTATTTTCATTAAAATTTCTTGCAGTTACCCTCTCCCACTTATCATCTGCTCTCCCTTTGCACTCTCTCACCACTCTCCCTTTACCTTTTCCTTTTACTCTCCATTACACTACTCATCTTAAAACACTTCGCTTTGTAAACACCTCCTCATAAGCTACCTTTTCTCTTTTATCACACCCTTTACTACATCATTCCACCAATTTCACTCCCTCTTTCCTCCTGCATCACCCTCCATAACCACAAACTTTTGCCCCACATTCTAATACTGCATTTTTTTTAAAACTTTCCAACCCTGGGCTTCAACCCCCTCCCCCTCTAACTCTACCTTCACCAGCCCACCATTCTGCCAATAGTTGCTTTATCTTTTCACCTGAACTTCCTCCTCCCATTAGTTTATACACTTTCCATCCTCTCCTTACCAATTTGCTATTATAGTCTACCAAGAAAATGATATTGAGATATCTTGGCATAAGTGAAAGGATAAAGAGGTAGCTTTTGTTAACTGTCAAAATGATCACATAAAGCTTTGCTGGATATTTTGAATAGATGTTTTAAGATTCCAAGTCAATTTACTAAAGTGTGTAACATGTACTTATATCCCCACAGTATCCAGAAATAATGACTGCTGGTGTGTTTCAGCATGCCTGGAGCGAACGTGAAAAACTGAAAAGGTGTGAAATTCACTGCTACTTTAATTGGTCATGGATGGTCACAGCAACTGTTAGCTGCATCTGATTCAACATGTAACCCACCTGATTCTTCTCTTCTTGTCACGGAACTGTATAACCGATTCTGATGTAAATACAGTAGGTTCCTGACACAAGAATGTTCCACTTTCATGGCAATAAAAACTTTGAGTCTTTTAATGATTACAACATGGCCTTGCTTCCCCCAATATGGTGGAAATACTTTGCTGCCACAGAGCCTAGAGGCAAGTAGTAGCAGCAGCACTGTTTGCTGCCACAGAACTAGAGGTGCGCAGCAGCACTCGTGCTCTACTGTTATGTAAAATTTCTGCTGCTCCTGTTTACTCTTTGATTTCTCATGTTTATTTACAATTATTATATTGTATCATTTTCTTGTTATGGACATGGGGAATCCAATTATAAATTAGGTAGAAAGATCTAGTTAGTAAGATAGTACAGTATTGATTTTTTCTAGAAACTGCACCTGTGTCAAAGATTTAAGAAAACAGGAAATAATGAGATTTATCAGTTTACTTTGCTTAAACCTTGTACTCCCTAGGTACTCTACTCACAAGGATTGGAAAGATAAGAAAAAGCTGTCAACCTTGCTCTATCTAAACTTTGCTTAGTTTTTTGGTTTATCATTATTTTGTCATTATCCAGATACTGTTATTATCATGTACAAGATCAAGTATAAGACTGTCCTGGCAAGAACCTGGCTTAGAAACTCACAACATAATTTGCCATGCTCATAATTCTCTTCTCACCACTCTTATACAATACCTGCTTAAAATATTACTTTTAGGAGTATGTGTAAAGCAACCATTTCTTTATAGATTTTTGTTTTTTTCCAGAAGAAGCTTTATCAGGTTCTGTTAGAGCAAAACATAGTCCTATAAATAAATGTATGCTCTCTATCTGCACTACAGTTTTTTTAACACAAGGCCATCTCCCACCAAGGTAGATGGCACAAGAAAGGAGAAAACACATTCACCATCATTCATTCAATTGCTGTTTGGCCAGAAGTGTGCCTGACATCATATTGTTGTATTATTCTCGTCAGCAACTCTTGACTCTCAAATGCCTTAGTTATAACTTCTATTCTCTACTTCCACTCTATACCATCTCTCATTTTCTGTTGTGTAGCACTCTCCAAGAATTAAATACCATTTATTATTATTGTAGAGTATTCACAAACATTCTCAACTTCTATAGGTCATTCAGAATTGCAAGTCTACTTTTAGTAATGTATTTACTTAATATAATGTGCACTGACTACAGGTATCTGGACCAGACCCTGCTTAGCTGCCACTTCACGAATGATGGATGCCACTGCCATGACCATCCTCGAGGGAAAAAACCTCTGCACAGGGAAGTAAGTCAAAATCCCACCAGTTTTTCAACAATTTGTATTGCCTTAATGTGGAAGCATTTAGTGTGTTTTATCTAGTAAACCAACGGCAACTTATTTTTTTCTGTGCTAAGAATATTCGTTTATATGCCATTAATTTTACAGTGGAACCTCAGTACTGAACTTAATTTCGTTCCAAGAAAGCTGTTAGAGTGCCGATCTTGTTTGAATATTGAACTAAATTTTTTCAACCAATTTTCTTTTTTGTTTGGCTGTTATCACTAATCTTCGTAGCCCCCATGGTGACTATTTATACAATAATATAAAAAAACCCAAAAATGCAAAAGAACACCAAATAGTTTACAGAAAAGTTTCTGGCAGGTTTGTGTGTTTGGTAGAGTGCCTGCAAAAGATCAACTACCAAGCGATTTTTTTTTACCAACAAAGCATTTCGAATACCGAATTGTTCGAGTAGGGTGGGTGTTTGAAGTACCAAGGTTCCACTGTATTTATATATTTGTGGGGAAGTGCTCAAACTAAAAGTGGGGTCATCAGAGCCTAAACATTTTGAGACTCTCTGACTGCGGGTCAAATCCCGGCCGGGGTATGGTTTCTAAACAATAGTTATCAGGTTTGGTTTGAAGAAAGGAAGAGTAAGCTCCCAATTTCATGATGTAAGCCCTTCACCAGTATCAAATTATTTTTTCTTGAATAGTCATCTCCATAATTTGCTATGTACATGAAAGCTTTGCAGATCCAATTCCCGTATAACCCCATCACTGTTAGAGACCCATTATTCCTTTTTTAATTATTTTTTCATCTTAAATGGTAAGGAGAATCCTTTTTTCTGAAGGTAGTATACCAAAAGTAAAACATTTTGAATGAAAAACTTGCAGAATTAGCAGGGCATTCTCCAGCACAATTTACACATCAGCCTTTTTTACATGGCTTTGAGTCCTGTTTTAAAGCCAAGTTCATTGGCTCCAATCGACCAAATTCCGCATTAGCTTATTTTGCCTAGTAAGCCTTCTTTCTATCAGTTGAGCATAAGAATCATCCATTTAATCAAATTTCAACTACCCTTTAAAGTGCACAGAGGTCAGTAACTTTGGCCCAGTTTTTTACACAAAATTAAAAAAAACCAATTAAAAAACATTCCAAAATAAACTTGTAAAAATTCCTGGCACTAAACAGCATTTTCCTCTGATCATTAATCACATCCCCAGGCCTCTCCGACTTATATTTGCTTTCCCATTTTTGAACTCATACTGCCCAAAAATAGAAGATATACTCTTATTTCTCATAATAAAATTTAACCAGAAATGATTGGTCCATGGTTTACTACGGTGTCTTAATAATTGAATCAGACCTATTAAAAATGCATAAAACGACTGTGGGGTGTAGGGATACCTTACCCCCCTCAGAAATCAAAAAGATATACAGTGGAACCTCTGCTTGGAGTTTAATCCATTCCAGGACCTTGCTCGAAACTGTGATTTGCTCGTTTGCAGAGTCAATTTTCCGCATTTAAATTAATTGAAATGCAATTAATCCGTTTCAGTGGGAATTCGTACCTCAATAATTTTGCTATATATCAACTCTACGGCTTATTTATCTACTCACTTCATCTAATTACATAATAAACAATTATAATAACATAGAAACCTGATATAAAATAAACAGTGGTCCCTCCATAACGCCACGGCCTGAAAGTCTCCCATTTCGGAAATATGTTCCATTATTTCGTCAAAACATGGCTCCAAGTTGGTGGTTTTTGGTGTCCGTTAAACTCGCTAATCGTCCTTTCATCTGGGACGGCGTACTCACGCTCTGAAGCCGACCGGGGCCTGCCTTCCCAGCCAGTGTTGCCATTGTTTTACCAGTGATGACGGACCCCTAACTTGCTCCTACGAAATATTTCATAATATTCCATTGATTTTAGTGCTTGCAAAGTGGCTAAATAAGCTCATTGCTCCAAAGAAAGGTTCTAGTGCCAGCCCTTTGGTAAAGAATGTGAAAACAACTATAATTTATGATAAAGTTGTAGAAACAATATACAAAGGACGTGGTGTAGAGTTGAACAGTTGTGATAGTGGTTGATGGTGGTAGAAGGTAGTAGTGAATGGTGGTAACAGTTTGTAAAGTGGTAGAAGGCAGTAGCGATGGTGGTAGAGGCCGGTGCCTTCTTTAGTGATTCAGCGATTCTATCAACTCCTCCAATGTTGTTGGAGTTATATAGGGCTACAGAAAACACCGCCGCCTCAGCTGCTGCTTCACGCTTGCTCTGTGGCCCTTTATATACCCAACAACAACACAACAACACACCTCTCATTGACATACATAATGAACCTTATTTTTTCATTCTAGAGTATATTCCATGTTTCTATGTTATTAATATTGTTTATAATGTCCATATTAGTTTGAATTGTGATAGACAAAAAACCTAGATTGATATTAAAGTGTCATATTCTCCAACAATAAACTTACCATCCCTCCCTCCAACAAACAAGTCTTCAATAAGAACATAAGAAAGGAGGAACACTGCAGTAGGCCTGGCTCATACTAGGCCAGTCCTTCACAATCCAACCCCTAACACAACAAATGCTACCCCAAGCAATAAGCTCAGGTGCAAGTCCTGATCAAATCCAACCCCTCTCACTCGTGTATTTTATCCAAACCTAAATTTGAAACTACCCAATATTTTTAGCTCGATCACCCTACAGCAGACGTTCCACTCATCACTCCCCTATTACCAATGTTTCATTTTATACATGTTTATTAGTGCTTACAATTTATTGCATTCTTTTTCTGCATGTAAATCCTATATTTATGCTAGGGAAGTGACCCCATAAGTGACCTAATCCCTTATGGAGGGGCTTCCCCTTCTCTACCCCTCTCTTCCTCCCTGTCCTTCCTCCCTGGTCTTCCATCATCAACAACATCCTTCAATAAAGGTAACTGTCATGTTGAATATTCATCTTTTGTGCATTAAATCTATCTTTTAGGTAAAAAAAAAATTGTTTTGTTGATACTTTCTGGGATGTCTGGAACGAATTAATTGGATTTACATTATTACTATGGGGAAAATGACTTGAAAATCGTCTATTTCTGATAATAGTACCCCGCTTTCCAGGAACGGATTAAGGACGATAATTGAGGGACCAAACTTTTTTGTATAACTCATAAATGAAAATAAAATGATGTAATTCAGTAGTGGTATGGGCGGTGTTTGGTGGTGGACAAGTGGAGACTGACAAATGCTTTCTTGATTATGTTGTAATATCACTGTACATATTATATATTCTATCACATTTCCTCTAATATGACTAATAAACAATATAAATAACTTAGAAACCTGATGTATACTCTAGAATGAATAAAATATGCCATTATATAACAGGTTGGAGCACCACAACCGCTCCCTCTATGATGTGTTAAACACTGCCCATCTAGTGATGGCCTTTTGAAGGCAGTCTATTATTAAAATTATTATTATGTAGTACTATTATTAATATATATGTATTATATTATATTCTTATTGGATTATATTAGTTATACTTACTATTATTATTATACCTAATTTTTTTTTTTTTTTTTTTTTTTTTTTTTTTCCTCTCCCCCGCCCTCTCTCCCAACAAGTCGGCCGTCTCACACCGAGGCCAGGGTGACCCAAAAAGAAAGAAATCCCCAAAAAGAAAATACTTTCATCATTTTCAACACTTTCAACCCTCACACACATAATCACTGTTTTGCAGAGGTGCTCAGAACCAACAGTTTAGAAGAATATACATATAAAGATACACAACATATCCTCCAACTTCTAAATCCCCAAACCCCTCCTTTAAAGTGCAGGCATGTAAACTTCCCTTTCCAGACTTGGTCCGGCTATAAAAAATAACCGTCTCCCTGATCCCTTCACTAAATATTACCTGCTCACACTCCAACAGATCGTTCAGGTCCCCAAAAACCATTCGTCTCCATTCACACCTATCGACACACGCTCATGCACGCCTTCTGGAAGTCCAAAAAAAATATAAGATTTACTTTATGCCATATTTGCAATAATTGTATAAAAAAAAATAAAAAAAATTGGGTCACCCATTCAGACTGCAATATGTCGCGAATGGACAGTGACGTCATTTGTTACTCTCGAACATAGCCAAAACAATTGAATCATTTCTCCTGTGTTGATTCAATTTCAAGGTACATGTACTTTTCGTCATGAAAGCAATCTAAATCATATCTATTCTGTAATATATCTTTCCAATCTATCAAATGAGACCAAGAAAACGAGAATACAACCAAAAAAACACACGAAATACCGCTAAGGGGTGGCTAATTGCCGAGAAGTGAACTCCATTATTTATGCTTAGATTTCTTTCATTTTTGGTGTATGTTAAGAAGTATCTTTCCATCATTCATTGTCCAAGTTTCATAAGATAGTCCAACAAAGAAATGAGATACAATTCCCTAAATCAAGAGTAAGAGCCCCTCACCAGCGTCAAGGAACCTGCCTTGAGGTTTGCTCACTTATGGAAATTTTGTTTGTGTATAGAAACAAAAAATCGACCCATCGACTGCTTGTATTTGGAAAAACTCTCACATGGATATGCTCGCAAGTAGGGGTTCCACTGTATTTCCTCTACTTTGAGCTCGATTTCAAACTACTACTGGTCCTGAAACCAACTAAAATCATCCCTATTTCAGTAGTATGTCTTCCATTCTATTAAATGATATCAAGAAACAGCCAATAAAACTATAAAAACCATCCAAGAAAACACCTCAAAGCCTCTACAGTGGACCCCCGACTTAGGATATTAATCCGTTCAAGAGAGCACATCGTAAGACGAAATTATCGTAAGTCGAATTAATTTTCCCCATAAGAAATAATGGAAGTCAAATTAATCCGTTCAAGACGCCCAAAAGTATGAATAAAAAATTTTTACCACATGAAATATACATTTTCCTACACACAAAAAGGAGGATACATGCACAATATATATTGTGCATATAGTAGTGTACTA